TGTAGGCGTTAGAGGGTAATTGCTTGTATTTGGATTGCGACTCAGTTGAGGAGCTGGATAAATTTTTCATTATAATCATGACTAACCTATAATATGTATACATATATTTCTCACATCATGTACTGTATTGCATCTTTGTATCAAATTATCTCTTATATCTTCTGTACCATATTATGTTATGAATATACCTAATTGGTAAAAAAAAAATGAAAAGTTGGGTTGGTAGGGAATAGTTGGAATATTAAACGCTTCAGTAAGAAATCCAAATAATCTTACTTGAAACCTTTTTAGTCCACTTCTCGAGGTTATAGGTCCACAATTACACAAGGTGTAATCCGACGGTGGTATTGATCAATACAACTGCAATAGCCGAGAACTCGAACCCATGTCGTTTGACCGCGCTCGTGGTGAGGCGAAAATCTTGAAGCTCTAACCCACAGGACCACTCACACTTCAAAAATCACCCACCGTGATCGAGGCCATACGGTGTGTGAGATGCCTGAGCAAATTTCATGATAATCCTTTCTGTCGACATGAACTAGGCTCCACGAACAGAATAATAATCATTGTAGGATTGAGTGTATGTCCCGGATCACATAAAACACCTACTCTGCTGGTGCGATGATTCTTGAGGATTTCAATCATGTATATATATATATAATATAAATATATATATAATATTATATAATAATAATAATATATATATAGCGTGCGGAATTTATTTATAACGCGACATGTGAGCAGAACAGTTGCAGAATGATTATTTACATAACATTGTAACCTCTTTGCTGCCATAGACTCCTGCATAGTAAGTTAGAACTTGGGTAAAGTTCAGGAAAACAGGGCAAGTGTTTCCGACGCAGGTCTTGGATGATTACCACTGTTGAGTTTTGGTCATCTGACGTGTCTGCTTAGGTGGTGCCAAACGTTAAAGCCAGAGAGAGACATTTAGACGCACAATAGTGAAAATTCAACTTTTATAACAACACAGAACAGAAAACTTTCGATCGACATAGACATAGGTGCCAGAGCGAGGAAAAAATTTAATCACACAATCAATTAACTATACAGGATGAAAAAAAAAACCTTTACATCAAATAGTGATCAAAGTGAAAATACTTTTTATATATTCAATACACTCAAATAGCTACAAGCAGTGGGGAAAATTCCTATTTTACATCAGTAGGCAGACACACAGACATAACATACACATACACACCCGTTTGCTAAACAAAGACCTATCATCCGGCAAAATGAAGCATATAAAGTCACAAATACGAATGAACATTTGTCACAAGACAGTAAGATGGGAGCACAATGTTGGTACTTCATGATCATGTTGTCTCAAGTTAAGGTTGTGTGAAGCCTAGGGCCGCCACGGAAAGATTTCATTTTTATAAACCCTCAGACCAAGATGCAGTTACTCAGTATTACCATAGGAATTTTCACCGTCATTTCTCTGGTAAATTTTTTTCCTGTTTCGTCATCTGTATTCTATTTCTTCTTTATTTATGATTAATTATTAATTATTAGCTTATTATTTAGCAACAGTAATTTGACTGTTGTTATCAGCGCCATACAGTTACTATAACTCAGACAACATACAGTCTATACTGTGAAAATATACATTATCTGAGTATCATATGTACAAACAGTAAAGAACAAAGAATTATTATTTATCATAGCAAGTAGGAATTTGGGACACCTGGTCGCATAAAATGTCCCCCATCGGAACTACACTGTCATTCCACAATTGCTCGTCCTATTAATTACAAATGATTGTCAGCACCAGATATTACCTCTAGAATATGATAAATTTGTGCTAATTAAATTCAAAAGGTTAATATAACAATTACAAACAAGAATGGGAATGTCTTTCTAGCAATTGAGGGCAGGTGTTCATTATCGAAAACATAATTCTTATAAAATACACTTCAGGCATCTAATTAACCGATATCGAGTTACTGTATTGTCCGTCTGAATAAGTATGCAGAATTTTCCAACACATTTCTACCTATATTAGGTTAGCCCAATTTCTCTAGATATGAAAATTCTTCTATATTCACAAGTCGTACTGCATTAAACAATACATGCGGTATCTGTGGCAGCAGCCAGGCTTTTATTTTACATTAAATATTTTATTAAATCAAGTATAGTGCATAACCTATTACGATTCGGAAAATGTACAATTTCCATATCCATTTTCATTTAGTTCCACAACACTATGTATACGAGTATCTGCTTGATTAAGTACATTGCGGTATCCGCGTAAATAATGGCCTTATTTTCATTTAAACTTGTCTATAAATTGGTTTGTCGCAAATTTGTGACCATGGATTAAATTAAATGCATATGATCTTTTCATATTCAGCTACAGGTATTTTGGCGCTTTCTCATGTTTCCATCACTAAAGAAAGATCTCACGATCACTCAAACAAATGTGCATGTCCCAGAACTTGACAGCCTTTAGCAATGACATTTTGCCTAAAGGGTACATGTATTTTGGCTAGCTCTTATTCCCAACTAAGCACCCACGTACCCATCAATGTCACTCCTCCCACGACACCCTATTCACAATGACTTCCTAGGTACTGCAGTTTCTTCTTCACTCCCAACACTCTCAGACCTCAAAGCTTCTTCACTCTTCTAGAACTCCCAAACCTCAGCACTTACACCTAATACCTGGATGCACCTTCCCTTTCCCCCTGCCTCCACGGAAGCCTGAATATATTTAAAGGTACGAGGCGGATTAGTCTGAAAAAATTTTGCATGAACCATAAGAAGGAAGAGACGGGGCATGGACAAGTTACTTAAATTAATTTTGAGGAAATTTGATATAAGGCTTGGTAGGCCTGGAGACAAGCTGACAGATGAGTTTTCAGGGAGAGATCATCTGTGGGAATGTGAGAGGGAAAAAAAAACAATACTGTGCAGTTACGAAGAACCTCGAGTGGGGGCATATCTCCGTACCTTCACGCATATATAACTGGTTTACTACAGGAAACAAACGTGCTGGGGACGCCACTGATCTCACTACAAAGTGCTGGGGACAGCTACTGATCTCAATACCAGGTGCTGGGGACACCACTGGTCTCATATCCCTATGAACACCTTTGATGCGGTTATAGAAATGTCCATTTCTGCCTGGTCTTGTAGTCAGAAGAGGAGCGAGTCTGTGACATGGATCGTAATTCAGAGATCGTTTAGTTTTTATTTACGCCTCTGAATTTATAGTTTTACGTGTCTCGTTAAATTATAGATATTAAAATGGTAAAAAAGGGTATGTCATACCGATAGGTTGTTGGAAAAAATGCCCACAAAATGCAAAAACTGGGACACTGGTAACGTTTCGTTTCAGGGATCTTATGCATGAGAAGTGACTGAGGTCCCAGGCTCGAAGGTTTCCAATAAAATGTCATAGTGTTTGCATTTTGTGTCTTTTTTCAACACTGTTGGAAACTCTGATCCAAGCCCTGTCTTACCATATTATCATTACACTGTTAATCTTACCCCGTGGTGTGCTCTGTTATGAAATGATACATTGCTGCGAGTCTAAAAGCTTACAGGCGTTACTAAGATAATATCATTTTTAACACAGCCTAGTATTTTTCACATTAAAAGGAAGTTGTTTTTAATAACGAAATAAAAAATATGATCAGCTATACAGTGTCCATAAATTAACAAGAAACTTTATAACATTTATATTTATATTAGCCGCAGCAATTACTCTCTGTGTTGACTCTAGAAAATTCTACAGAGAAGGTGGCTTCACTCACAACGAAGGCAAAAGACTTGGCAGACGATGCAACATCCCCCCAGTGAAAAGCAGGGGTGTACTAACACGTTAAGAGACAATACAATAAGTGTCAGGGGCCCGAGACTGTTCAACTGCCTCCCAGCATACATAAGGGGGATTACCAACAGACCCCTGGCAGTCTTCAAGCTGGCACTGGACAAGCACCTAAAGTCGGTACCTGACCAGCCGGGCTGTGGCTCGTACGTTGGTTTGCGTGCAGCCAGCAGTAACAGCCTGGTTGATCAGGCTCTGATCCACCAGGAGGCCTGATCACAGACCGGGCCGCGGGGGCGTTGACCCCCGGAACTCTCTCCAGGTAAACTCCAGGTATGGTCACAATACTGTGTATATCGGAGAAAAGTGCATCTCGGTTTAAACACATGGATATAAGGTTTTCTTTAATCGCATTGTGTTTACACTTAGAGTTGTGTATCTCAATTTATTATATCCACCGAGAGAGTGTTCCGGGGATCAACGCCCCTGCGGCCCGGTCCATGACCACGCCGAAGTTTGTACCTCTCACCGTATATACGAGTTAACCAAAAGATGTACATTCCAATGTATTTACACCCATACTTGTAGGTTACCTGCAGTTGCTTCTGGAGGTTACAGTCTCCGCGACCCAGTCTCGGTAAAGACCTCCTGGTTGCTGGCCTGATCAATTAAACTACTGGTGCTTACCGCCCGCAGTCCAATATATACACCATAGCCTGGCTAATCAAGAAATGAACTGAGGGAATTTGTCGAGTTCCCTCTTAAAGACAGGAGTTTGTTGATAATCCTCCATAAACATGAAGGGAGAGTGTTGAAGAGTCTTGGTCCCTTTGCACTTGTTGAGTTCTCTCTCAGCGTATTCATCGCTACCATGATTTTCATCGGAGGTATCTTGCACTGTCTGGCAAGCATTTTGTTTTTATATATAGTGATTTCGGTGTGCAGAATTGGAGCCAATCACTCCATAATCTTCCAGGTGAAGTTTATTTTAATCACTATTTTATGGATTGAAGTGGTCTTGAGTGGCAGTATACACGTGAATTGCAACCTCAGTGACCCACTTACAATCGATGGGCTTTAAACCTAACAAGCTAACTAACGGTCGCTACCTCATTCTAAAATGTTAGTTGGGTGAACGGCCGCCAGGGAGCGACCGAACCGGTAACTCAAGATACTGCAGACACAAGAGACCAAGTTGGCCAGTCGCGCGCTAGCCAGCGTGTGGATGTGACACGTAGCTCAGGCGATTTTAATTTTTATCAAGATATACTAAGAACCGTACAGTTTTCGCAGATGCTAAACGCTTCCGAAGATTTATAACTTATTCAGAAAAATATAAATAAGTAGTAGATCCATTTTTGGAAACATTCTTAGAAGCAGCATTTCTACGGGACTGATATTAGGAATCATTCAAACGACCTAGGCAACAATAGATTTAAGTTAATACTGTATTGAAGCTTCACTTTGATAAAAGTACATAAACTATATTATATATTTGTGACACATAAATCAACGTACCTTAAATAGCAAGTTACAATTGACCTTCATTACCAAGTGGACATTAGAACTGGACTGACTTCTAAACCAACAGGTTACTTTTCGTACAACTGTGCTTGCAGTGCTTGACGTTGATAATACGTATTACAGACCTTGTCAAGAGTTGACAGTAGTACGTGTTGTGGTCTTGACAGTACGTGATACGGGCCTTGTCAAGTGCTGATAGTTCGTGTTGACAGTACATGTTACGGTTCTTACCACGTATTGACAGTACATTCTACGGCCTTTAACACGTGTTGAGTGCGTGCTACATACGTATTGACAATACTGTTCCTCACAGGCATTGTTGGAACCGTTGACTGTCGCGGCTGAATTGTTTAAGGCAAGGAACTAAGAGACTACTAGTAAACTACAGTGAAGCTGACTCTGCTAAAACAACGTCATGTGAGAGGCCAGAGGCACTGGTGCACGTTTAGGACTGCTATGATTACACAGCTTCGTGTCAGCATGTTATTATCTGTTGCGTGACGTGAAGGGGAGTGCGAGGCAGTATACAAAGCCATCTTGAGCTACCTCCCCTAGACTTGAGTTCGTGCCCGTGTCCAGCATGAATGAGAAGAGTGAACCGAGCGAATCTGCTGCCTCCGCCAGTGGCAGCAGTATGAAGGTCAATGTCATGTATAGGGGCATAGTGTACCGGGTGCGAGGCATCAAAGTCCTCTGCTCCGTCGTCACCGCCGTCATCCTGCTTCTCGTCGCTATTGTCGGACTGGGTGTCTGGATGCTGGTCAGTGCCTACGCAGAAGAGAAGGCGGAGCCATTCGACAATAATGTCAATGCAACAGCGCAAGCCCAAGGGAGCAAAGATACAGAGAATCCTCTATCAACACCCTCTACTATAGACTTCAACGCCCCGAGTGTTATACTTGAAGATCTTCCTATCGCGGAACAGATACCTATATCGCACTCTGATGATGATCATGTTAACGAGGCTGTGGGTCATTTCCAGGCCGTGACGCCAAGCAGGGATCTTACAGCTCCGTCTCACAATCCTAGTCCAGACCCAACCTTTGGACTCTTCGATGGACTGCTGGAACTAAGAGATAAAGACTCAGAGGGAACCACACCTGTCGCAGATACCCCACCTGATTTCTGGCGGCCCATAGACATCACTCATGAGAGTGACAGTATTGTTGAGCACTCTGAGAGCGAACCTGTGGTGGTCCCTTTTCCCTCAGATCGTTATAGCGAGTACAGAGAGGGGGCATCTGAGTTCGCACACAACAGCAACAGAAGAGTGGATGACTTCCCAGAAGACAATATTCCTAAATATCCACTGCAGGGAGGTCTTCCCGATAACATTCCTCGGGACATTGATCCGGCACTGCTCGACATGGGGCTACCATTTCCATACCCACCATCCCTCTCTACGACATTGGCACTCCCATCCTCTACCACCCCCATGTCCAGGAGACCCAGCAACCTCCATCATTATGTAGACTTGCAACATTCACCGACAGAAACCCTTCGTCGACAGCATTCCTTACCACCCCTCAACTCGCGCCCACCGTATACATACCACGCAGTCTACGACCCACCACAACCCGACGATTACAGCGATCAACCTGCCCACGATCCCCCAGAACGCTACGATTACAGTGAACAAACGACTGATGACCATGACCAACCATATCAACAGAGTCACGAAGTACCACAGCAAACCTACGAGCACTACTACGAACCATCATTACAAGGCAGTCGTCTATCATACCAACCGTTAACTCTCCGCGAAGCACCAACTGAGATATCGGAGGCTTTTCCCGGTATGTCAGATAATGACAACTCTCAAAAATACAATGCAAAACGAGGTGAGCAAATATCGCAGGGATTCACGATGCCACCAGGTATCAAGATTCCTGAAGGTATTATGGTGCCAACAGGTGTTACAATACCAGCAGGTTTTAAGATACCAACAGGGATGACGTTACCGGAAGGAGTCACCGTCCCCGAAAACCTGGAGAACCTGCGAAATTCTGAAGGAGAAAAATTAGATCGTGTAAGGCTAGGCTCAGCGGGTTATTTCGAAGATATGATGTATTATTACAACAAACATGAAAGAAAAGCGACAAATATATCTGAACATTCATCTACTCCCGAAGAGTCGCAGTACAGCCAAAGAAAGGGCCTGACACAGGAGGACCCTGGATACTCTGGCCCACCCGTGGTTGGTTATAGTGACAGAGTTCATGCCACGGAACGCAGCACATCAGACCCAGTATTTCAGTATTTCTGGGATGCATATCATCATAACGGTAAACCACCAGCCGAGCATGACGACAGAGGACCTGTTCCTGAAGAAGCTTCGACACAAAGTTGGAGATCGCCTCCACCAAGAAGGCAACGACCTCGTATTAGTGCCTTTCAGCCTAACAGTGGTGGTGCTCGACCCAAAATTCGAGGTCTTTTACCCAATGGGCAAGGCAACCGCCCCTTGCCTTCACGTCTAGACGCTGAACGGCCCCCAGTGCAAATTCCAAATCGAAGTCTTTGGGTTGATCAAAATAATCGACCTCCACCACAGACAACTGCAAGGCCTGATCACAAAGCTTCCACGAATCACAGACCTTTGTTGGGCCCTCTGTATGACATATATGAATATTCTCAGAGGTTAGCATCTACGTTATTAAGCTTCCCAGCAAAAATTGACAGCCGGTTCAATGAATCTAGAAAAGAATACATGCAAAATGAGGTGGAATTACTGGAAGATTACAATAAAGTGTTCAAAGAAGCAGACACAACAAGCGCCGATGTGTTGCCCGATATGTTTGACAATAGACCTGGCAGGAATGAGCGCCTCATGCTTCTTGACTCTGAGAAACTTCGAGCTCTGAACCCTTTTGAGCTATCGCTCATTACCTGGACATTTTTGGATTTCTGGGAGTTCCTTATTGAGAAAGTCGGTACCCTATCCAAAGAAGACCTCCAATTGCTAGAGCTACGACTGGAGCGTTTAAGACAAAACAAGGACCGTGTGCTGACACAAAACTTCATGAAAGCAACAGTCAATGAAGTGTCTCAGGCTTCAGACAGAAGCTTTCCAGAACTCTCTCACGCAATTACAATGGTAGAGGATCTTCTCGAGAGTCTTCCAGAGGTGGAGAAGGTCGAGGACACAGATACTTCTTCCTCCCATGACGTGGTAGAGGGACGCATGTGGGATCCACTCGGAATGTTCAGTTCTGAGCAGCGTGTGAAGTTTATGGAATTCGCGATCAAGGTGTTGTTTAAGTTCGGTCGCGTTTATCTGAAGAAGCGGTACGCGTTGGACTGCATGATGCTGCTTTTCTGCAAAGACCTTAATGCCAACACCAAGAAACGTGGAATGGATGGCATGGCAGCCAAAATAAAGAGGTGAGAATTATGACTAGTTCCAAATTATAAATCTGTCTTACAGACAGATTTATAATTATTGTAGGCTCATAGTCGGCCAGGTCAGCATCATCTTAAGTTTACCTCCTGACCTTCGAACACAACCGAGATTGTGATGTTAACTGGACCTTGTCACTTCTGATGCAGAACTAATTAAAGCACTGATCCAACCGTCAGTTATTTGTCAGTAAAAGGTTAAGTAGCACGATAGGCTGAAGAATTGGAAGAGGGTTGCCGGCGAGCGATGGGATGAGGGATTTGTCAGTATGGAGACCTCTTAAACTTATCATTCCAATTCCCTTTACGGAGCTTTCCGTCCTGTAACAGAAGGGGTTATTCTGCACACATGAAGGGTTGTATCGAAAGAGATCTTGAAAGAGTATTACCTCATTAGCGAACATGTTGAGGCTGAAAGCACTTGAACTGTAAACTGGTTATGATAATGCCCAGCCATTGTCCTTCAACAATTGTGCAGTATATCCTTACTGAACTTAACCATTGTCGTGCAGTATATCCTTACTGTACTTCAGCCATTGTCGTGCAGTATAAGCTTGCTGTACTTCTTCAACTCGTTTGTGTTCAGTGTTTCCAATTAATTTTATAGACACATCGGCCTTCCCTCTTTCACGCAATGTTCCATTCAGCGCTATTTTCCATTCACTCTACTTTCCACTCATTCAACTTCTCACGTTCCCTGCTCACAGTATTTCTCGCGCACTACTTTTCACTCCCACTGTTTTCTACTTACACTCCTTCCCACACACGCACTCCACACTCGCACTACTCAACTCACACCACTTCCCAAACACACTTTTGTAAAATTATAGTACTCGCACTACCCATTCACCACATCCCACTCACACAAGTTCCCACTCACAGCAGTGAACGGTATTTGTAAGAGGGAGTAACTGCAGGTAATTATTGTTGGTGAGTGCAACTGTGAAGGTCAGTAGAGCTTCGGTTGTTAATCCAGGAGATAAGTGTCCACTTTTTACGGTTGTGTGGTGGTTATTAAAGGTGTGTTGGTGCGGTAATGGTTGTAGTGGTGGTGATGGTAATGTGTCGGTGGTTATAGGTGTGATGATGGTGGAGTGAGCGGTAGTGGCGTTGGTAGTGGGGTGAGTGTTGCTGGTATTTGTAAAGTGTATGTGGTCTTCTTGAAGTGAGGATCTATTGTTGGTAATAGCCCGAGTGCCCCATGGCAGGCAACTTTTACTCGCACCTCAGCTATCCCCACTCGTGTATCTGCTCAAATAATGATCAAAGTTGACCAATGTTTTCATCAAAGTGACCTTCAATTATATTTGCTATTAGTAATTCCTAACTTGCCCATTATGTGAGAGAACTCAGTATGCGTGCACAAGCAACTTGAAAAACATTTGTGTGATACAGGGTAATTCACAAGGCACTTGACGAATCAAAACAAGAGACCAGGTTAGTTATGAAAGAATGATTTGCAGAAGCGACGGTGCCTAGAAGCAGTACTGATCAAAGTGTCCAACACTAAGGCATAGCACTCTGCGAGTAGGTGGTATGTACTAGCCCCTAACTTCTCTGGCTAAGACCTCACATAAATTAACCTGACCTCTTGTCTCTTATCTAAAAAAAAAAAAAGGCACAATACCGTGACTGGAACGATACACAAATAACTCGCACATAGAAGAAAGGAGTTTACGACGACGTTTCGGTCCGACTTGGACCATTTACTAAGTCAAGTCAAAGTCGTCGTAACCTCCTCTCTTTTATGTGCGGGTTATTTGTGTGTCTCTTATCTATTCTGTATATACACATGCTGTGTTTTGGATTGATAAAACCCCAGTGGACGAAAAGTCTCTTAAAATGCTACACGTGTTATTAAACACATGTCTTCATCCCAGTCAGTCGTGCACTTATTCTGCAGTGTGTCTGTTGATATACCTCGTACTTGAACTACGAGTGTAAATGCACGAAATTGCGTGTCACTGCATTATTAATAACCAGATTCGTGAAAACTTGAATTGTATTATACAAAGAAATTGTTATCCATGTTATGATGTAACCTGTAATCAGTTATAAATATCTACTCACTGGGATCTAAAAATACCCTATGCGACATCTGTAGTCCTCTTTTTTTTAACAGACTTGATCACGAGCCGCGGCAAGTTCTGTAGCAGTGTTGGGCAACCGGTTAGGCATGACACATCGACGTGTGTCACGGCTAATTCTTAACTAAGATAGATAAATTAGGCTATATTACGTAAATATTAGCAAGGCTATGCTAGTTGCGATGTAAAATCTCAAACTGGCACATTATAAATTTTCATAACTTTACCTTAGGGAAGGGGGAGCACGCGATATATATACCGGAAACTGCATACTTCTCTAAGTGTATTAAACATTGAGTATACATTTTCTTAATTTTAGGTTTTAGCACTTTCTTTGATTATAATTTATTTTAGGTATTAAAGTAATCGTGATAACCAACGTGCAGTCGATGATAGACTTTAGACCAACCTCGGTAATCTTGAGATGGGGGAGTAAGTAATTTTCAGATGATCCCCCACACCTTGCCAATACCAGTCGCACTCAGAATTACTTGGATGAGCCTAGTAATTCGTAAGCCATTCGCAAATCATCACTGAACTGACATGTCTTCCAGCACTGCCCCACAAACAGAGCAATTGGGTCAAAGGTAGAGTCGACTACTGTGGAGACAAAACACTGCGAATTATGACAAATTACCCTATGTAGGCCAACCTCTGCTGCTAGTAAGCCAACCGCTATCAGTGCTATTGGTATCAATTTTGCCATAAGAGCAACCACACGATTACGATTTTCCAAATAAACCATCTGGTGTATGGGAAGGTCACTGCAATCGTAGTCACTCCAAAACTCCTCAGGGATGGTACTGGGTGTGGGGAGAGGTAGTGTGATGAGTGGAATAACGGTATTGAAAGAGCTGGGATAAAAAGTTACAAAGATGCTGGGTTCTCAGTACTCCTTACACAATTTGTTAAAAACATTCTTCGGGTGGACGCTGTGTGATGTTTACTTCCTATTTTATGTACTGACCTGATTGTTTTATGTTAGGAGACAAACCACAACCACACAAGAGTTGAAGAGTAGCAAACATTAGATGAAGATTTCGAAGAATTCATACCTACCTCTCCCAGTTTTATTGTCTAAGCACACCTGAAGGTTGGGAAGCCGATGTTTCAATGGCAGGGCCTCTCATTTCTCTTTCTTCCCAACTCTTTATTCATTACTCGACTCTTTGAGCTCCTTGTCACGCACCGAAAGAGTAACATTTATTTTTTCCATGTTACGGTCATGCTTTATTTTTTTTCTCAGTTTATTTCTGTGACCGTCTTCATTTTTTAAGTTATCAGAGCGGCATTCAATCTTACAGTTTGCTGCGGGTAATTCTTGGGACACAATCTTTTGCACTTGTTTTTTTTTTTAATTTCTGAACAATTGCCACAAGTCGTGGACAAGATGACGCGTTTATTTTTATCAATACATGATAAACATATTTATATTTTACCCCCTCTTATCTGTATTCTTCCTTACCCACCTCGTTTTTGCTCTTCCTAAATGTCTGCCTTTCCTTTACCAACACTTTCCAGCCTTTCCTTTCCACTGCCTGTCGCTTTCCCTTTCGCCATCCTTTATTAATTAACCCTCTCCGTCTCGCCCTTCCTTTATCCTCCGTTACCCTTCCTTTCGCCCTCCCAAAACCCTTTTTTGGTGTTTTTCTCTTATATTCCTTATCCCAGTCAATATAAAAATAAACTAGCAATGTTGTCTAGTTTTCAGTTCCATTTTGTGGGAGTTACTACAAATGCTGAAATAAATTATTTTTATAGTGACACCGCAAATATCTCCTTTGTACTTCGTTTCAAGCAATAATGGGTCACGGTGTACCTTGTGTTTGATTCTTCCCAAAATGATCAATCATTAAAAAAAAAACACTAACGTTTTGAAGGCCCGCTACACAACCTGGTAGTTCCCTCGCATGATTTCTCTTCTGCATATCATTATCTCTCTCTTACTGGTCCACCAGCCTCGCTTAACTTCTCACGGGGAAGCTGATAGATTCACCATCATCGTCTCTCATGCCATTGTCACCGATATTCACGGTAGTCTAACACTTCCCACACATAAACCATCACACCTGATTGCTGTTGAAACCGGGCCCACTTGCCGGGTTAAGGGATATGGTACTGGATGACTTGTTGGGTTAGGAGATGCGGTACTGAGTGACTTTCGGGTTAGGAGATACGGTTACTTAGATAGAGGTTTGACAGGTGACTGGTCCCGATACGTCTCCTTGGTCGTCACGTTATGCTCGATAACGCCGCGAACTGGTGTGATTCCACCTAACACTACCCTCTTAGCCGGACGCCGGCCAGGTGTAGCACCGTTACAAGAGGCGTTACTGTCTCCTGTGGTTACTGTACAGTGATGACTGAAAGAAGGGCAGTGTGGGAGTGAACCCGCTCCGTTTAAATCCCTCCGCTCTTTTTTTTTTCTCTACAGTATGTATTTTTATCATAGTATGAGATTATACTTTCTATTTTAATAGTAGTAGCAAGGTGTACTAGTGTTGGATATATAGTTGAAGTACTGTCGGGTGTAGTAATATGACGTGTGGTGTAGTGGTTAAGTGATGCTTTGTTGTTAATTTACCGTAGTGGTTACCTATAATAAATACATATAATATATACCCGGTCTACTGTAAACCTTAGAATTTCGAGCCAATTTATAGGAAGACATGCATATCTTATAAGAAGACATCCATATCTTAAACACTGTAGATAACTCGAGGTCCGGAGATGTCTCACCAACACTAAAAAAAAAAAAAAGAAACCTTCGAGGAGACTAAAACTTACAAAATACTCAGAGGCAGTGAGTGAATTCCTTATACTATACGTAAATATGACAGAACCCCTGGGAAATATGAGGTAATATTTTTTCATCCAAATAAGTGGATGGTAGATCAC